TATTTGGTCCAGCGTGAGAAATCAGACAAGAAGTAGAAGGGTGGACAGACTGCACATATTTTGATTGTCAGAAAGCCTTTAACACAGTACTAATGTGTAAGTTAGAGCAGAATGCTAGAGTGTCAAGGAAGGTGTTCTTGTGGATATCCAATGAGTGGTACTACAGTGAGTACCTAAACAACAGAAGACGACTAATCATTGTGAGGAAAAGTTTTACCAGCGGTGTATCACTGGAGTCAGTACTTGGACCTATGCTGTCTCTGATATATATGTATAAGTAATCTTCAACAAGAGATAAGACTCATTAATCTCCATATCTCCTGATGATGCAAAAATTATGAAGACGATTAAGACAGAGAAAGAGAACAAGAAACTACAAGATAATCTAGGCAAGCTGAAAGAATGGTAAAGAATGGGGCAACAAGTAAATGCAAAATAATGAAACTAAGTATGGGGAAATAAGAGGCCGAGTACAAATTCCAAATGTGAGATGAAATCGTTCAAGAATCGGACAGAGAAAGATCCAGAAGTTGATATCTCACTGAACCTATCTCCTGAAGTCCACATCAAACAGATATCATGGCGACGAATGATAGGTTGGCCAACAAATGAAACTCCAGATGATGATATAAGCACAACACCAAACATAATTGGGAATACTTCAGCTTCGCATCAGCAAGAGGACATTCCTTTCCTCTAGCAGCAACTCGTCGCTACGAGCTCCAACCTGCCATTGGCAGTGTCCCGTTCCCAGCTACGGAGACATAAAATTGTATGTTACCATCCTGTAATATTGAGCAATAATATTGCTCAATATTATTGCAGCTGGTCAATATTATTGCAGCAATATTATTTTCAGTCCAACAATGTGGCTTCTTGAGTTTGAAACCGCTAGTCCTTGTCTGCATTACATCTAACGTTTTGAAGACGTTGTCCGGATCAACATCCTCCACATTGTCCAGCATTTTGAACGTTTCGATGAGATCAGCCTTATGAGATTTATAAAAGCAGAGGATGAGATTACAGTTGTTACTTGAAGGGTATCGGAGTACAGACGTTACCTTCGTTCTCGACTCACAATACAATTTACAGTACAGTCGCTTTACAATATAATTGTACGTTTCAAAGAATATTGTAGCAGCACATTGCTGTGTATACTTATAAGTTAATACAAAAGTATGTACGATTTAATTGATGAAACCAGAACAATTTATTACCTAGTTTTCCGTTGTAATTGCTAAGAATATAGTCAATAATAAAATTTACAGAAAAGTGCTCTAGATATTATTTTTATGTTCAGGTAATAGCAGAAGATAGTTACCCTTTGTTACAAACATAAACAATCGTTTATGGCTGGTAAATATAAACAAATGATTTTTTTAAATACAGCTTACTAAATAGATATTATAATATTATTATCCCTAATCAAAACTTATATTTTACTTATAATAATCATTTAATATAATACTAAATAACAATCAAATTAATAATTAGTAGCCTTTGTGTTAAATTATGTATTTGTAAATGAAATAAGAGTCGAGTAAGAAGGAAGTGAACCTGAGTTAAGGCGCTGGGGCTGGGTGGCCGCCGCCGCCGCCTCCTGAGTGATCGATGCAGGTCTCAGGGTTTCAGGCTGGATACCCCAGCTACTGTTCCCTGACCCCTGTCGTACTCTCACATCGTGTTACAAGATATATTTTTGTTTCATAATGGTGAGATGAGAGCTTTGTAAGACATTATATTTCCCTCTGAGTGTGGTGTCTCCTTCACCTACGCTGAACAAGCGAGTTTGAATCACTCATAAATTTATCTGTAGTCTTTCACGTGAAGTGCAAAAGATTTGCCAGTAAAAGATATTTATTTGGACGTGGAAATGATTGTTAAAGTTTGGCAATACCCTTAACAAATGGTCAACATCAGATAAATAATTTCATAGATAAATTCTGTGATCAAACTTGCATTGCTTGGACTTCCTAATGGTTTAGTTACAAACTTTTAATTAATGGTGGATGGTCTTGAAGACGAGTGGAATTACTTTAAAAACCCATGCTAGCAGTATTGCCTATCAATAAGATTTTTATCTTTAGTTTGCTATTTATTTGAACCTTCTGCATTTAAATTGTGACTTTCAATTTATTTATCATAAATGTTTTTTTAATGTATATGGAATTGACTTCTTCTACTTCTTTTAATATACAGTATTTCATTTGTTTTGATAGTAGACAGAAAGCACAATGTCTAAAAAAAATTAAGGTCATTTATTATGTTTACTTTATATCCTTAAACCCATCTAGCTGTGAGTAGTAGTAGAAAAAGTTTGATATGCACATAATGGGCTTAAGAACAAAACCTTATCATTTGTTCTGCTAAGCACATGTAACAGCTTGTTAAAAGCTGTTACAGCAGCTTTTTTTTACAGAAGCAGCTGAAGCAACAGAAGCAGCTGTTTTTAAGCTGTTAAAAGCTGAGCTTTTAAAAATTTTATTTTTTATTTTGTTTCTACATGGGCCCAAGCGCTAGCTGGACATTGCAGCGTTACTCATTTATGTTGACCAGACATATAGTATAGAACTGAGTGCCCAAATGAGCCACAGAAATATTAGAAAGAAGTTTTTTAGTGTCAGTGTGGTTGACAAATGGAATGCATTAGGCAGTGATGTGGTGGAGGCTGACTCCATACACAGTTTCAAGTGTAGATATGATAGAGCCCAATAGGGTCCGGAACCTGTATACTAGTTGATTGACAGTTGAGAGGCGGGACCAAAGAGCCAGAGCTCAACCCTCGTAAGCACAAATAGGTGAGTACAAATAGGTGAGTACACACACACACACACACACACACACACACACACACACACACACACGAGTGGAAGGATGTACCAGAGGGGCAGGAATTAGTATCTCAGAATGCAGAGTGCAGAGAAATTGAAAACGACATAGCAAATAAAGCAAAGACCCAGCCCAAGCTACTTCACAGTAACATCAGGAGGAAAATAACAGTAAAGGATCCGGTAATGAAACCCCGGACAAAGGAAGGTATGTTCATAGAAACTGACACTGAGGTGTGTGAGGAATTTAACAAGAGATTCCTGATCTTTACAACAATAGACCAAGGCGGCGTGCCTGAACTGAGGGAGATGATGTTAAACTGAGAGGCACTGAAGGACAGACAGACTCTCGCCATACTATAAACCATAGAAAGTGAAAAGTAAGTCACTTGAAATAGGACACCTATCAGAAAATATGAAGATTGTCAATGTAATTCCAATATGCAAGAATGGAGATAACAGTTGGCACTGAACTACAGACCAGTGCCCCCCTAACTTGCATAACATGCAAGGTGATGGAGAAGATCGGAAGAAAGAGGTTAGTAGCACTAGCACGGTTTCATTGATGGTAAATCTTGCCTCACAAATTGAATAGAAGTATTTGGTCCAGCGTGAGAAATCAGACAAGAAGTAGAAGGGTGGACAGACTGCACATATTTTGATTGTCAGAAAGCCTTTAACACAGTACTAATGTGTAAATTAGAGCAGAATGCTAGTGTCAAGGAAGATGTTCTTGTGGATATCCAATGAGTGGTACTACAGTGAGTACCTAAACAACAGAAGACGACTAATCATTGTGAGGAAAAGTTTTACCAGCGGTGTATCACTGGAGTCAGTACTTGGACCTATGCTGTCTCTGATATATATGTATAAGTAATCTTCAACAAGAGATAAGACTCATTAATCTCCATATCTCCTGATGATGCAAAAATTATGAAGACGATTAAGACGGAGAAAGAGAACAAGAAACTACAAGATAATCTAGGCAAGCTGAAAGAATGGTAAAGAATGGGGCAACAAGTAAATGCAAAATAATGAAACTAAGTATGGGGAAATAAGAGGCCGAGTACAAATTCCAAATGTGAGATGAAATCGTTCAAGAATCGGGCAGAGAAAGACCCAGAAGTTGATATCTCAATGAACCTATCTCCTGAAGTCCACATCAAACAGATATCATGGCGACGAATGATAGGTTGGCCAACAAATGAAACTCCAGATGATGATATAAGCACAACACCAAACATAATTGGGAATACTTCAGCTTCGCATCAGCAAGAGGACATTCCTTTCCTCAAGCAGCAACTCGTCGCTACGAGCTCCAACCTGCCATTGGCAGTGTCCCGTTCCCAGCTACGGAGACATAAAATTGTATGTTACCATCCTGTAATATTGAGCAATAATATTGCTCAATATTATTGCAGCTGGTCAATATTATTGCAGCAATATTATTTTCAGTCCAACAATGTGGCTTCTTGAGTTTGAAACTGCTAGTCCTTGTCTGCATTACATCTAACGTTTTGAAGACGTTGTCCGGATCAACATCCTCCACATTGTCCAGCATTTTGAACGTTTCGATGAGATCAGCCTTATGAGATTTATAAAAGCAGAGGATGAGATTACAGTTGTTACTTGAAGGGTATCGGAGTACAGACGTTACTTTCGTTCTCGACTCACAATACAATTTACAGTACAGTCGCTTTACAATATAATTGTACGTTTCAAAGAATATTGTAGCAGCACATTGCTGTGTATACTTAAGTTAATACAAAAATATGTACGATTTAATTGATGAAACTAGAACAATTTATTACCCAGTTTTCCGTTGTAATTGCTAGGAATATACTCAATAATAAAATTTACAGAAAAGTGCTCTAGATATTATTTTTATGTTCAGGTAATAGCAGAAGATAGTTACCCTTTGTTACAAACATAAACAATCGTTTATGGCTGGTAAATATAAACAAATGATTTTCTTAAATATAGCTTACTAAATAGATATTATAATATTATTATCCCTAATCAAAACTTATATTTTACTTATAATAGTCATTTAATATAATACTAAATAACAATCAAATTAATAATTAATAGGCTTTGTGTTAAATTATGTATTTGTAAATGAAATAAGAGTCGAGTAAGAAGGAAGTGAACCTGAGTTAAGGCGCTGGGGCTGGGTGGCCGCCGCCGCCGCCTCCTGAGTGATCGATGCAGGTCTCAGGGTTTCAGGCTGGATACCCCAGCTACTGTTCCCTGACCCCTGTCGTACTCTCACATCGTGTTACAAGATATATTTTTGTTTCATAATGGTGAGATGAGAGCTTTGTAAGACATTATATTTCCCTCTGAGTGTGGTGTCTCCTTCACCTACGCTGAACAAGCGAGTTTGAATCACTCATAAATTTATCTGTAGTCTTTCACGTGAAGTGCAAAAGATTTGCCAGTAAAAGATATTTATTTGGACGTGGAAATGATTGTTAAAGTTTGGCAATACCCTTAACAAATGGTCAACATCAGATAAATAATTTCATAGATAAATTCTGTGATCAAACTTGCATTGCTTGGACTTCCTAATGGTTTAGTTACAAACTTTTAATTAATGGTGGATGGTCTTGAAGACGAGTGGAATTACTTTAAAAACCCATGCTAGCAGTATTGCCTATCAATAAGATTTTTATCTTTAGTTTGCTATTTATTTGAACCTTCTGCATTTAAATTGTGACTTTCAATTTATTTATCATAAATGTTTTTTTAATGTATATGGAATTGACTTCTTCTACTTCTTTTAATATACAGTATTTCATTTGTTTTGATAGTAGACAGAAAGCACAATGTTTAAAAAAAATTAAGTTCATTTATTATGTTTACTTTATATCCTTAAACCCATCTAGCTGTGAGTAGTAGTAGAAAAAGTTTGACATGCACATAATGGGCTTAAGAACAAAACCTTATCATTTGTTCTGCTAAGCACATGTAACAGCTTGTTAAAAGCTGTTACAGCAGCTTTTTTTTACAGAAGCAGCTGAAGCAACAGAAGCAGCTGTTTTTAAGCTGTTAAAAGCTGAGCTTTTAAAAATTTTATTTTTTATTTTGTTTCTACATGGGCCCAAGCGCTAGCTGGACATTGCAGCGTTACTCATTTATGTTGACCAGACCACACGCTAGAAGGTGAAGGGACGATGACGTTTAGGTCTGTCATGGACTATTCTCAAGTCGATTGAGAATTCTCAATCCATTCTCAAGTTGTCGTCCCTTCACCTTCTAGTGTGTGGTCTGGTCAACATACTTTAGCCACGTTATTGTGACTCATAGCCTGCGTTACTCATTTATGTCTTGCTTAGGCAGTGGATGAGTATTTCTAGTATGATTATCTGAATAGGTGTTTCAGAGTTAAACACAGTTCATTGGCTAATTCCTTTATGATTTTGGATTGAATTGTATCCACATTTGGAGCTTTTGATTCATATAAATTGTCTATACTCTTTCTGATTCTTCCACTGATGGTGATTCCACCACCTCTGCTGGTGGTATTTGACAGTATTTATCACTTATGCAGATGCTGTTAGTACCATTTATTATAAACGGAAGAAGAAGTTTATTTTCCAAACACCATATAGTATAGTACATCAAACAATGTTCTTGTTAACAGAATGAATCCTCAGCTACAGCCCGCCTGGCTTGGGCCGCGGCGAATAGAAGGATGGAATCTCCACTTGTTAATGATTATAAGAAGCCATTCATCATACGGCGACTCATTGAGACTTTCTTTGGTGGGCTAAGACTGTTTGCCTCGGAAGGTGTTCCTGTTTACGTGTATGTCCTCCAAGTACGTCATTTTACATTTGCTTATGTTTTTATAATTGTAATAATAGTTTAATCATAAAATATACAAAGGAATATATAATGATGATTATTAGTAGGTATAGTGATTATACATATTATATGAAGTCACTAATTACGTATATGCACTAATTTTTAATATGAATTGCATCTAGTAAATTTGTGAGTGGTAATCAAGTGTTAAACAAAATAAACATGATCTAGTTGACATAGATAATCTCACCCATGGCATATTAAACCCAATAAAAAACAATACAGTGTATCTGCTGCTAAAATAGCTTCCAACTGAATGCTGTACTACTAATTTGTATATACAGTATTAAAAAATTACAGTAATTAGAACATTATTGCATCAATGCCAAATTTAAAAATTTAAAAAACATATTCATATCCTAGATATTGTTTTTTTTTAATTTAGACTTCCCTACTGACATTTTCTGATGAGATAAGATAATTTGAATGCTGTATTTATGTAAAATTTAAAAGTAAATGCGAGCTCAAAATTACATAGTTAAATATTCGGGTGATAATAAGTGAAGCATTTCACTGCTAGGCCTATAACACTCCAAGGCTCATGTGACCTAGTAGATGGTACTATCTCTGCTCCCACTCCCCCCCCCCCTAGAAATGGCAAAATTTTCACTGTAACAGGAGGCTTCTGAATTAATTAATATGTATTAATGTTTATTTTTGTACATTATAAAACAAAGAACCATATTTCAGACATGCTATCCTTTCAAAGTTAATAATATTGGACAGTGAATTCACAAAGTTAACGGATAAATTCTTCAACATATATTTTACCATTTATTTTTTCAGATCCTTACCTTTTCTGTGATTCCCATATTCACTACATTATTTGTGCTACTGGAGCACAATGGGATGATAAGCTTAATTCAGGCAGTGATTATCAATGGTGTATTGGGTGGCTTGTATTCTTTGGCTCTGCAGCTCCTTGCCCACTTTCTCCGCAACCAAAACTCAAAATCGGGAGGAGTTGAACAGGTACTACTGGTTTTCTTGCCAACTTAAACTGTTATTGTCTAATCATATACTGATAAGGATTATTTTGATAATACTGTAAATGTATATTGTATATAAATAGGTACCTGTACTACAGTTGATAAAAAAATTGAGAAACAGTATCTATGTATATGAATGTATATGAATTATGTATACAGTATTAATGTACTGTATATGAATTAAGTGTATATAAATTGAAATCTGTACATTATATATTGCATTGTATATTTATTTCATTGTGTATTTTTATAAATATATACAGTATGCCAAAATAAATAATACTGTATGTATAAATATATATATACCGTATATATATATTTTTATTATTATTCTGTAGGTGAACCTTGCTACAGATGAGGAGATAATTGAATTTGATTCACCATTTGGGCCAAAGACATGGGCATTCCTCATCACAGAGAAGAAAGTGAAGGGCGCTGTCATCATCCACTCCCTCATTGCTGGTCTTGTTGGTGCTGGTGTGGTATATTATGTAAGACCATCTACTACATATGACTTTAATGTGGTAAGTACAAAATCATCTGTGATGAGTTTTCACCATGTTGTTTTAACTCGGATACTAACATAGTAGATTCAGATTAGCATTGTTTTAATTAGCACTACTTTCATAAATGGTACATCAGCTAAATGACAGCAAATTATAATACAGTAATATGCATCATATTTGTTGTATTCCTTTTAAGACTACAGGATGACTTTTTTAAATGTTTTAAATCTTATTTCTCTGAATGTATCAAATGCCCTCCAGAGTAATGTTTTATTATACATGTCTCAAGGTCCAAGTACTGTATCTTTAATTGGAGAATCCTGTGATAGATTGATTTTTATTAAATATCTTCTGTTTAAGAAAAGTCTTTCGTCAGTTCTTTTATATTTATTGTGTAGTGCCCTTCAGTAGATTTGTGGAACTTAGTTGCTCATCAAAGGCAAGCTGCAAATACCTTGCAAATTCGAATGACAATCTTCAGCTCACCTGAGACAAGCACCTTTTCAAACCATCTTGCCCCCTTTACAGGGGAGAGTGGGTGCTTGTGAGGGTTAAAAATTAGCTTACAACTGAAAAGTACAAAGTGTCAAAAGTGAAAAGAATATCAAAATATATATTCTACCTTCTTGCAAGTAATGTTTGGCAACACATTAATCCTCAAACAAAACTCTGCAGTGACCTAACAAGGTACTTAACCACCTCAGTCACATCACCAGCAGGTGGCAGCTAAAGTGTTTTGAGGTACTGGTAAAGTAAACGTTTCACTATATATTCTGGCTCATAGCTGTAAATACAGTATAGATGAATTTGAAGTATCTAGCTGTCATCAGCATTTTGTTTCCTGTGTACCCAGGGGTTTGGCATTCATCTTGACTGTTTCTCTCACCACTGCTTCATATTGTGTGTTGCTTTCATGTGAATTGTTCCTGCTCTCCCCAGACTCGTTGTCTTTGTCTGTTGGGGGTTTTACCCTTGCTTTTCTGGCTCTGGGCTGTAGGGGTTTGTACTACTTTTAATGAATGTAAAAGATAAAGAATTACTTACCTAATTAACATTAAGTAGTCATTTATATATCATCTATATACACAAAGTAGCATAAATCTCACATAGTTTCTTGTACAAACTGTGCCAAATGTGTTTGCTGTTACTGTTTATTTTAAATAACATGAATACAATACAGTACATTACACTATTGTAACAATTCTCTCTAATTTTAATCCAATACTGTACTTATCATCAAAGCTGCAGAATCTAAGTTATGTGAACTCTTGTCATTCATATTCTACTGTGACTGTCTTTCTGGATTTGACTGAATGTTCTCTGTTGATTACCAAGTCCCATTATTACCCTGCATGGACCATTTGAAAAGTTACCTGTGGAGCCAGTGCCTGTATGTCGACCTGTCTGAATGTGCATGATCCTGTCTTTCAGACACAGTAGATCTTTTCTCAGGGAATAGCTGAATGAGAGGGCCCAGAAATAACAAAACACTACTAATCTTTCCTAGAAAATTTAATTCATTGGAAGGGATCTAACTCTAACTATTGTAGGGAAACTTTACTTTGAAAATTTTAAATACGCTATAGTACAGTATTTTTTTTTTCAGCCGTGGGAAGTATCTGTGAGTTTTACTATTTTGAGCATCTTGACTTTGAGTGTAGGTATTTGGCCTCTGATTGGAGGCAGCCCACCAGAGCCTGCTACCTTTCATCCCCTCTCCTGGGATATCCCTGCTTTCTCTCGACCTTCTCACATGTTGACTTGTGTCCTGATACATCTACTTTCAAGGTAAGATGGTATGTCATGATTAAGATATATTCAATAAGATTTTTAGTGTTCTATGAAGACTGTGGGATGGAAGAAAGCATGTAAAGTGTGTATATGATATAGAAAATATAATGTTTCATATTTAGTTGTGACTTTGGTGTTTAATTATATTATTCCCATTTACATGCAATATTTATTTTCTTGGCCTGAATTTACTATTATAATTTGTATACTTTTGCAATTTACTATTATAATTTGTATGTTTTTGAAAGTTCAGTGTGATGCATGTCTCTAAGGCAATGAAAAATGTTAATAACATTGATATTTATGAGCTATCCCATGCTGCTAGGCCATAAAACAAGTTTTACTTTGTCCATTAGACAAAAATATAGAAGATCAGTTGGAACAACATATTGTATCAGCATTACAGGGACTTTCAGGTTGTTCCTACAAGGTTTAAAAGGGCTAATGGAGTTGCTGGAAAATTTCTTCCAGCACACAATGACCAATAGGAGCTCATTTACAAAAATTAAAGCCCAGTAGAACCCCACTTAACTTCAAAGGTGAACAACCTATACTTAACACCCATCACATAATTTCTGATGATGTCCTATGTCAGTTGACAAGTTATGTATGACTATTTCTTTAGATAAATCTAATTTGTTTGAACTACAGTATTCTGGATTCTGAAAGGATTTGGTTAGGACCATTTGGAAACCAGGCTTCTTCAACATAATGTGGTAAGGGTCAGTGAACCTGGAAATCTATCATAGGTCTTGTAGACCAGGTTTGCATCCTCATGCTTTGATAGTTATGGCAAAGAACTTTAGTCATATGGAAACTCTGTTAGATGCAAAATAGATAGGTGTCTGGTAGAGATTCTGTTTTACATTTTTGTGGTTGGCAGTCTTGGTAAAGTACCTAGGTGATATGCATCACTGCTAGGTGCAGAATAGTCATAGCAAGGGTCTTATTATTTTTCATTCCATTGCTTGATGCTCTTGATGAATTACCTAGGTGTTATCAATATTTATGCTTGGTTTAGGTAATGTTGGGGTTTGGTGGGGGCCATCCTCATTTTCTATGTGGTGTTTAGTGATATGTGAAATTTTGCTAGTTACAAACTAGTCATTGATTAAGTTTAGCTCTTCATATGCACCCCATTGCATAGCAGTTATGACAAGGCAGCCAAGTGACATACCAATTTCTGCCAAGTGCAGATTAGCTGTAGTTAATCTTATTTTGCATCTTATTGTTTGGCTAACAAGGTGAAGCACTCTGGTTGCATGTTAACCTCTGCATTTGCAGATTGTCAGATGTAGAACAGAGTGGAACCTCTGATGGAAACCGTATAATCTTCTGCTTTCGAGTCTGTAGCCAAATTGAATGCTCAAGTGTAACTGTTTATGTTTGTGATCTCAGGACTAGGAATTTTAAGCGCTCTAGTCTGTATTTCCTGCTTCTTTCTGTTGATCCTAGAAGTTTAGACCTGATTTTATGGTGAGACAGCTTTGTAGCTGTATATAGCTTTATTTGGCCTCAGCACATCTGAATGTTGGGGTAGTGATAATTAGTGTTTTTTCCCATTAAAATTACTTAGGAGATTGTTTGCAAGTGTGAAAGCAATTACTGAACTCTACCTAAGAAGCCAAATTATTATCAGTCAGTAGCTTTCCTTAATAATAAAATGTTATGTTAAAATTTGCCAATGATAACAGAGAGCATCATGTAGAATTAATATACATTAGAAGACAGACCTCTATCTAACACTTGTTTCACTTACTTTTGGAGTGGATAGGTATACATAGAAAATTAGGCACTTGTTTAAGGAAACAGTGGCCCATTTTCACTTTAATGCTAAAATACAGTAGTGCTGCCGCTTCGTAGACCTGTGCATGTGCAAAGTCATCCAGTAAGAACCCAGCTAGATCAACAAGGGTCACTTTTAGTTAGCTTGCTTTCACTTTGAAAGCCCACATGGTGTCTGAAAATCAGAAGTGGCTTAAGTAGAGCAACAGCAGTGTCATTCACTCATGAGTGCTCATTCAATGTAGATGTACTTTCTGACCCATGCCAGATCTAGTTTATATTATGCAGCACTATGAGAATGAAGTTAAAACTGTGGGATTAGACTAGTGTATATCAAAGATTTGTGAGGTCTTTGTAACACATACCTATTTATTCTATACTGTATTATTTTATAATCATCCTATTTATGCAAGAAGACCATTAATTAAATTCTGTACTACGCAGATCACTTTAACTCATGTCTGGGAACACATCATACATAAACTAGGAGTCAGTTGGATGTACATATTCAACACTGTACTATATGTAGAGAGAAATGGAGGACGGAAAATATTTATATTTTAAGAATCCAGTATTTCAGAATATTGTTTGTATTGTGAAATATTCCAGGCAGAGTGATCAGGATACATTTTCTTGGTTAGTGTTGGAATTATATATATATATATATATATATATATATATATATATATATATATATATATATATATATATATATATATATATATATATATGTCGTACCTAGTAGCCAGAACGCACTTCTCAGCCTACTATGCAAGGCCCGATTTGCCTAATAAGCCAAGTTTTCATGAATTAATTGTTTTTCGGGTACCTAACCTACCTAACCTAACCTAACCTAACCTAACTTTTTGCCTACCTAACCTAACCTAACCTATAAAGATAGTTTAGGTTAGGTTAGGTAGGGTTGGTTAGGTTTGGTCATATAACTACGTTAATTGTAACTCAAATACCAAAAAATTGACCTCATACATAATGAAATGGGTAGCTTTATCATTTCATAAGAAAAAATTAGAGAAAATATATTAATTCATGAAAACTTGGATTATTAGGCAAATCGGGCCTTGCATAATAGGCTGAGAAGTGCATTCTGGCTACTAGGTACGACATATATATATATATATATATATATATATATATATATATATATATATATATGTATGTATGTATGTATGTATGTATGTATGTATGTATGTATGTATGTATGTATGTATGTATGTATGTATGTATGAATAAGTGAGACTTTACATTCAAATTATCACTAAAATTAACTTTATTTAGTTAAAAAAAATTATTAGCATGATTAAACAGCAATGCTTTTCCAGATAAGATTAACATCTCAGAACATAATATTCATTCATCATAAATCAAGGTTTCAAGACTGATGTTTGACCATTTTCTGTATGTTATGTTTATATCAGGGAATCTAGATCTAATGGGTTGATAAGTAAATATTTCCAATCCCTGAACTGTTAGTTGGTAAACATGCCCATGCTATGACGGCATACAAAAAAGGACATGAAAATATTAAACATTTGTTACTAGTCAGTTCCTCACCTGAAATGCAGCATCTGCCTTGCAGGTATCATCCAGAAATGTCCTGGCTGTTGGCATTGGATGCATTGTTTCACATTGTGTTTGCTACATGCTCACTACTCTGGCTCTTTGGAATACTGCCACCTATTGATGCATACATCTTATGGCTAATGGAGCAGTGGTTAGTTGTTGGTCTTGGTGAGTTGTGAATTTTGTTTACTCCATATATAAACCTGCCTTTTATTATTATTTATTTATATGCATTCTGCAGCATTTCATGTAAAATAAAATTGACTGTGTCTTAGATGGAATATACTTCACAGCCATGCTCACAACCTTTAGCCTCTGTCCCCCATTACCTCTTTAGTGCTCTTTTATGGTTTTCACTCTTTTTATTTAGCTTCTCTTCACACCTCTACCTATAAACTTCAGACATATTTTTCTATATTTGTACTTTAATATAAATACAGAGGAATCTTAGGTGATGAGCGGCTCTATCTACGAGCATTTCAGGTAACGAGCAAGCCACTTGCAGAAAATTTGTCTCAATTGACAAGCTTCCACTCGGTTAATGAGAAAACTGTGTGGTGCTTCCTAGTGTTCCCGCTGGTTCTCGCAAATTCTCGGATGCCTCCGACGATGCAAATCAATGAAATTTTTTTAAAAGATGCTAATGGTGCCGGGATGTAAAGGGGTGACTGCTGTATTGTTGCAAAGCAGTGATTTTTGTTTTCTTAGAAGTTAAAAAAATTAAAAAAATGAAACAAGAATAAATGTCAAAAGGTTCATTCAGTGTATGTCAGGTAGGCTGCTCCATTTTCTAAAACAAATATAAAAACATGAAAAAAAATTTTAAAAATTAAAAAATTTGAAAAAAAGTCTCAAAGGTTTATGTTAGGTAGGCTGCTCCATTTTCTATAAAAAATTTAAAAATATAAAAAAAAATGAAAAAAATGAAAAAAGAAAAAATGTCACAAAGGTTTGTCCAGTGTATATCAGGTAGGCTGCTCCATTTCTATAAAAAATTAAAAAAAAATAAAAATTTGGAAAAAAGAACTAATGTCATAAAGGTTTGTACAGTATGTCAGGTAGGCTGTTCCATTTTTGATGAAAAAATAAAACAAATTGAATATTATAGTGAAGTTTTTCAGTGGTGGAATGGATTAATTTTATTTCCATTATTTTAAATGGGGAAATTCGTTTCGCAAGACAAGCGTTTCACATGACGAGCTCAGTGCCGGAATGGATTAAATTTGTTAACCGATGCACCACTGTAGATTCATACTTATATTGGTTTTTTAGTTTTCTTTTATCAGATAATACTTTTATATATATACAGTATTGTATTCTTATTTCATCTAAGCTTCTTCAAGTCTCATCAACTCTCCATACACCATTTTTCCTTTTAAATCCCTCAACCATCAGTAGAAATATGCTATTGCTGGTGACATTAATCATCACTACCCTATTTTCCATTTTCATAGAATGATGACCCATCAGTCCAGAAAAAATAGGAGAGTAAATAGGAAAAGAAGATTAAAGAAGCCTAAAGAAATTCCAGCCGTTTGCCATATCTTCATGACTAAATGTAATCACCACCATTTCATTCAGGCTCAATACATTCACAACAGCATCCCACTGCTTCATACAGCCTGTGATACTTCCTGTGAACTATAAAACATTCACTCTCTGTTTATTAACTAATTCCATCTAGTCTTATTATTTACCTTTGTGTTCTATGAACACCTAATCCATACTTCATCACACACTCCTTCACTATGTCTGTCCCTCATCTTCTTGGCCTTTCTCTCCTCATCTTTAGTATTCAGATTCACTCAAATATGTACACCTAAGCATTTTATTTGAATCCACTTATTCATTATCACCAAATCATTTCAATAAATTCTCTTCAATATTCAAATTAATTGACATTTGTGCTTCATGTCTTTGCATAACTTTTGAATTCTTTACAGTCTCTTTATACCATATATACATATCAAATTGTCAATTTATACAGCTCTTACTCTTGAATTTTTTACCGACTACGATATTAATATTCATTAAATTTGTTTCAGGTGGATCTCCAATGTCCTCCAGTCTGCGACTAGTAGGCCAAGCATTTTTTGGAACACTGACACTTATTATGTCATCTGCATTGCCATCTTTTGTTTCTTTGATGGTGTTTGCATCTGTGCGAGGCATTATTCTAAGTGTTGACATAGGTACAGTATACTAATAGCAATATTTTAATTTGTTACCATATAAATTACTTGTAAAATTTTATGTTATATTGTTGCTTTAGTTTACAATTTAATTTTATAATTAGATTCTTGCATTGGTATCTTAACATTCACTATTATTATTTGCAAGTACTTACACAATTATTACAACATTACAGCATGGATGATTTCATCTTTGCTGCCTCACAGGGTCAGACTACTAACAGGGTTTTCTGGCAAGTATCAAGAAACTCACCCTGTGCAAGATAAGCCTTCCTTGCGTCGGACCACTTGTCAACGTGAACTGGCCTTATTTGTGCCAATGGTGATTACAGTAGCTGCTTTGAGTTTTGGTTCACAGTTACCACATAGTAGCTGGTATGAGCTAGCTATTAATATGACCAAGGAAGAGAATACTACTATGCCACTACGGCCAGCACTTTTTCAGGTACTGTATGTTAAATATTTAATTTAACGGTAAAGAATAAATTATGTGTAATACAAATCATAGATTTTCATGACACTGATAATTAGGTATCCATGATTCAGATATCTTATAGTTTTGTCATCTTTATTTCAAAGCTACTCCACTTAAATTCTCCCTAAGGCAAGATCAGTGAAAGTTTCTTTGGACAAGATCATGACAGTCATGCAGGGTGACATTTTGCATGGGCATAACAGGGATCTTTCCATCTCTGTTGGATCATACTGGTGCTAGGCAGGCCCTGGAGAAAAGCTCAAGAGCAGCTCACAGTGAATATAAAAATTTCACTCATAACCACTTGAAGGCTTTCCAAGTCCTGCTTGACATCTCTATGACCAACAAATATCACTTTTGCAGCCCTCCAGTTTCCCCATTTGGGTAGAGCCTATGCCAACACGAAGTCCTTGAACCCAATAAAATCTTTCTTGGCTAGTACCCATAGTTGTTAGGCAGGCACAAGACCAGTTTTCCTGTGCAGGGGCTCATGTTGTTTACTTGTTAAAGCTGTAATTTGTTTTTGATCAGCCATCATGTGTGTATGACATGTTTTATATGCATCATGGTTTAACTGATCACTGGCAAAGAGTCTCACTTCCCCATTAAATTTCAATTTGTGCTCTAGTGGTGGGAACTTTACTTTAGGCTAAGCTGAGCAAACTGGCTGAAGCAGCTAGAATGGGACCAACAAAACTCCATGGCAAAACAAATAACACAAATTTAATCGGTTTTGTACAAATATATTGGAGCATATATATATGAAACCTGTCAGTAGTGGGCTAAAATAACCAAGAATGCAATTAATTGTTTTGATGCCATACTTTGCTGTTATTTGTGATACCAAGTGAAGTTCTCTAGGGCTTCAAGTCTTTTTCAACATAACTCTGAAAGACGTTCTTTTTATGGACTGAACTTATGAGCGTACATGACCTTACTTTGAAGTTTGAAAAGATTTCTGCAGCATCAGTATGTAAATATTGTCCCTCATGACTGTTCATGAATCCTGCTTATGACAACAGATTCTTACCTTAGGGAGCAACTGATTGTGATAGCTCGGAATAACTACTGTACTATGTATTCTTACTTGTATTAAATGTTTAATTTTATTATATTTGTACTCATCTTGGGGATGAGTTAAATATATTCCCTAGAAGCTTTCCCAATCATTGTTGATACTGCCATCATCTGCCACATCACTCAAAATGTAATTATTATTATTGTAAATGTTTGCTCTTCTGTTTCTAGGAACCTGCACAAAATGCTGTGGGAATATGTCTTCTCGCCATTACTGCAGTAATGCTTGTCATAAATGAAGTGCAGAAGGTGTACATAATGGGCATTTTAAGAAATCCTTTCTTTGTTTATCACAAAACATTTCAAAACAGCAATTTTTTATATATTTATTCCCAACTGCTTCAAGTAGGTAAGTGCACTTTGAGCTGTATCCCTTGGTACAGATTATTACTCTGGGTTGTGTACCCAAGGTTCAAGCTGTTGTTCTGGGCTGTGTACCCAGGCGTTTCCCACACCTCATGGAGTTAACCAGATTCTGGTCCTGGTTCTCGGTAGATCAGTGTGGGTTTCATGAGACTTGGTGCAGTCTAAAGACTTTGTGGTACCAATGCAACAGCTTGGGCCCTGAGGGCCCTGTCAGAAAGGGGTGCTATTGGCAAGTGAATCACCTAACCTTGATAATGGGATAACAAAAGAAGGTGTATGGAGAATATAAAGCATATGAAGAATATAAAGAATCATGCCCCGAAAAAGAGGAGACTCGAAAGAAGTCGACCCACGGAGGAGAAACCCAAATCCCTCAAAGAAGATAACACTTTTGGAACAAGGCAGATACAAGCCAACAACTGAGAAAGAGAGCCCTGAACCAAAGTCAGACTGAAGTAAGAGCTTGGGTAAATGCAGTATGGGGGATATACTGTAATATTAAACATAATTTTGAAACATAAAAATGAAAACAAAAACAAAGCAATAACCATGCATGGAACAACTGTTCCATGGAAAATTAACAACTCTTAGTTAAACAAGTAGTGAGTAGTTCCCAGCAGAGGTCATTCAACCTTCATGTTACCAGATGAGTGAAAGGGGCAGCTGGCAGTTCAGGAATCTGGGTGACCTGGGCTGCTATCTAGTGGCAGCCAGGCAAGTTGAGGTTAGGCTTATTCATTTGTGTCTATCATATTTGTTTTTTTGGGGGGAAGCCCCTTCGACTCCCTGGAACTATCCAGGCTGATATTGCAATGTTAGACTTCCAGGCTGATATTGCAAAGTTAGACTTTGGCATCAGTCATGTGAATGGAGTTCTTAGACCTACCGGGGACTACGAGCCAGAACCTAGCCTCAGAGAGGCACGAGCAGCAATGGCCTATAGAAACTCCCATGTGGTTGGAAGCATTCTATGTCTGCCATCGACTGAGTCAGGTACCCAGAGAGGTAAGCTCCCCAAAACAAACCCCTATTCTGGTTAAGAAATTGCTACTGTAAGCTGAAGTAGTGGACAGAACTCCCCAAACAAAAACAAGCAAACGAGCATGACGTCACCACACCGCTGTCTGAGCAATTTCCCCTCCCTGGGAAGGAGAAGGGGAAGCCCCAGACCCCTCGCACTGGGGTCTGGGGCTTCCCAAACCCCAGTTCTGAGACTGATGTGCTAGGCTGAAGTCGTGTGCTCTGGCTCCTGATTTGTCTCTAGCTCTGTGCCTTATGGTGTGGGGGCTGTTCCTTGGGGGGTGCACGAGCCAGGAGTATTCTCATCAGTACTCAGGCTGCATGCACCTAGGGGCTACCTTCCCTGGGTGCCTGGTAAGTACTGACCTTGGGGCCACCTTCCACAAGTTCCCTGGGTTCTGCCTCTGCTTGGCATTCGGCTGCCCTTTGTGTGTTGGGGTGTTTCTTGCGCCCTTGTTCACCATAGGGTAAGAGGTAGTTTGCACTGGTAGGGGCACAGGGTACTGCGCAGCTAGTTGTCACCTCTCATAGCGGTTGGCTCTGTTCTACCTCGATACATTGTCCTCTTGCGGGGTTTTATTTTTGTTTTTGCCCAGGGGTTCAGCTTCTAGAAAGTTTGTTGGTAGACTTGGGCACCAGTTAGCAGTACCCTGCCTGGGCTTCTCTGAGAGTGAGTTCTGTCTCAGGACCCCTAGGAATCCCCATGGGGGCACATTGTTCCGATGGATGTGACCCCTGAGTCTCCCCTCGCTTTGTGCGAGTTTGAGGGTTGCTCTGTCCCCTTGTCTCAGGGTTTAACAAAAAAAAATCATTGTTTCTGGGGGGAGCCCCGTCGGCTCCCCGGAGCTATCCCAGGCTGATATGCTAATGTCAGACTTTGGCATCAGTCATGTGTATGGAGTTCTTAGGCCTACCGGGGACCACGGCCAGAACCGGGCCCCCTCAGAGAGGCAAGGGGAGCAATGGCCTATAGAAGCCCCCGTGTAGTTGGAAGCACTCTATGTCTGCCATCGACCGGAACAGGCACCCAGAAAGGTAAGCGCCCCAAAACAAACCCCTATTCTGGTTAAAATTGCTACCTAATACCGAACTAGTGGATAGAACTCCCCAACCGAAAACAAGCAAATTAGTGTGACGTCACACACTGCCGCGCCGCTGTCTGCGCAGCTCCCCCCTCCCCGGGAGGGGGAAGGGGGAGCCCCAGACCCCCCGCGCCGGCTACCCACACCTCAGTTCTTGAGGCTGATGCTATGGGCGATGGTCGTGTGCTCTGGCTCCGGTGTCGCTACTGCACTGTGCTTTGAGTGTGGTGTTAGTTTTGTGGGTGCGAGAGCCAGGAGTTATCTTCAGTACTCGGGCTGCATGCGCCTAGGGCTGCCTTCCCTAGGTGCCCTGTAAGTACTGCCCTTGGGGCTTGGGGCCACCTTCCACAGGCTCCTCGGGGTCTGCCTCTGCTGGTCCGTTTTACCTTTCGGTTTTTCGGCCGCCTGTTGGGCTCTTGGGTGTTCTGTTCTCCCTTGTTACCGGCAGGTAAGAGGCAGTTTGCACTGGTAGGGGCGCAGGGTGCTGCTCAGCTTGTAATTCCCGACATCGCGGCCGGCTCTGTCCTCTTGCGGGGTTTTGCTTTTCTTTTTGTTTTTGCCTGGTGGGGGGTTCTGTCATTTTATTCAGTTTGTTTTTGCCCTTCCACTGTTCTCCTCGGTGGCGCCCCCTGCTAGGTCCCCGTGAGTGTACACGTCCCTGGGGTTCAGCTTTAGAAGTTTGCTTGGTAGTTTTGGGCGCCGGTTTGCAGCACCCTGCCTGGGACTACCTGAGCGCGAGTCCTCTTAAAGTAAACGCTCAGGACCCTGGGAATCCCCTAGGGGGCGCGTGGGTCCGATGGATGTGACCCCGGAGTCCCCACTCGCTGTGTGCGAGTTTGAGGGTTGCTCGGTCCCCTTGTCTCAGGGTGACCCTCATTGTTTTTGCCTCTGCCACGCTGCCTGTTGGGTCGGTGATACTTTCGACCCTGAGTCCTGTGAGTGTTGCTGCTTGCTTGTGACTCAATTTACCCAATCCTCTGATGATTCTATTCGGGTACAGGCGGCACGTGCGTTGCAGTCTAGGTTTCGTCTGTTGCAACGCGCTCGGTTGGTTGCTTCCCCGGATGCCCCGGGGCTGCCCCGCTTTGCTTTTCGAGACCCGGACTTGGGGGTGGGGGTCGCTTCGATCCTGGTTCAGTCCGCACCTCCTCGTCCTTCCCCTTCTGTTCGTTCTGGTCCCTCGCCCCTGCTTCCGGCCCCGAAGCGTCTGAGGGTTTCGGGGTCGGAGCAGGGGTTACTTGATCTCGAGACTCGGGCAGCTTCGGGGGTTGCCCCTTCCGGGGGGGCGGCAGAGGCATTCGAGTCTTGTCTCCCGGCCGAAGCTTCAGGGTCTGACCAGTGGGCCCCCCTTCCTCCAGCTTTTCCGGCTGCTCCGTCCTTGTCTTGTGGGGTCGGGGCTTGGGGAGAGGACTCGGCCTCGGGTCCTGTGGTGACGGACCTCGAGGCTGGGGAGGGGCTGACTTGGGGGCCTTGGGCCCCGCTGGACCCCGCCTGGGTTTTTCTTCCCACTGAGCGGGGCTTATTGTTACAAGGAGTGGGGTTTTCTTTCCCCCCCACTGCGTACGAGTTGGATTTGGTGTCGGCCCCTCCCCGGGTACGGTTCCGTGTTCCCCCAGGTACGTCGGTTCCGTCCTTCCGGAGGTTTTCGGCTTATCGCATCCAACCTGGTGTGGTGCGAGCGGCCTTTGCAGCTTACCTCCTGCGTGACCCGGATTATGCCTCGGAAATGGATCCGTCCACGTTCAGGTTTGGGACTTCGTTCCCTTTCTGGCTCCGTTACGAGGTTCCGGAGTCATCCTGGCTAGCAGACTGCCCCTTGTTTGGTCTGGATTCCTGGCATTCCTTCTGTCGTTCCCGCACGCTGGAGTGGCGGGAAGCTTCCACGGTGCTTCAGGTTTTCCTGGGGGGTGAACTTGAGTACCTGAATGAGTGCTTGTTTGCCCCTGCCCTTCCCCGCGATGTGGGCGTTATTCAGCTCCATGTGCAGGTTCCCTCCCTTTCGGCGGCGCTCGTGGCGGAGGACTTGCGCGCTCGGGGCCTTTTGTGTTCGGCCTTACGGTTCTTTTCCCTCCTGGAGCTGTCTTCGGATTGGCTCGTGGAGGATGTGGGGACGCTTGGGTCCGTCCCGGGGTCCGGCACCTTGTCCTCGGCTGCGCGTTCGTCGGCTGCCTTGTTGAAGCTGTTCACGCCGATTTTGCGGGATGCGGTTTCCCTGTTCTATGCTTCCCGTCTCGCGTGTCGGCAGGCGGTGCTGGGTTCCTCCGTGGAATCTGCTTGGGCTCTGGCTCTTAGGCGTTCTTCCCCTTTTTGTCCTCTCCTGTTTGGGGAGTCGGCCGTGGCGCAGTTTATTCAGGCTGCGTCGGCGGCTTGTCGTCCGATGTCGGACTTGTTGGTTTTCCGGGGGTCCCGGGGTGGGTCTTCCCGGAAAGGTCGTGCCAGGGCTCGGGGTTCCTCTCGTCGTGGTAGGCCTCTGGTGTCAGGTTTGGGGTTGGCTCCTCCTGCGGACCCTCCCTCGTCTGGTCGGCGCGGTGTTCGCGCTGTGCGGGGTTCTGGGTCTCGTAAGGGTCGCCGGCCCTTTCGCGGTTTGCCCCTTTGACGGGGCGATGGGGGGGCGGCTTGCGCTGTTCGCCCGCGCCTGGTCCCACGATTCGTGGGCCTTTCGGGTCGTGTCTCACGGCCTGCGGTGGCGTTGGGTGGCCCCTCCCCCTTTTGGGGGGTCGGGGCAGGCTTCTTCCCCTGCGCTCTGTCGAGTCGTCTTGGAGTGGGTACGCTTGGGCGTCGTCGAAACGACGTCGTCGAAACGACGTCGTCCCTCAGATGGGTTTCCCGTCTGTTTCCGGTTCCGAAACGGGACTGCGCGGACCTGCGGTTCATTCTGGACTTGTCCCGTCTGAACCCC